AACATAGACTAGCCAACTTGAGCCTAAAACTTTAGCCTAGTGCGAAAGTAAAAAGTCGCATGACGACATAATTGACTTAATCTGGGCTGTAGTCTGCTGTAATTTTATGAAGGACCTTAGAACCTTCTTTATTTATAACCTCCTTGAGTTTTATGCAATTCTTCCAACGTTAATACATAATAGACTCTGGCTTTAAAGGTGCAGAATCCATCGATCTTTGTTTACACCCGAAGCCGAAAGTCAAAGTCAAAGTTGGTTCCAGTCTCACACGTCAACTAGAATCTAGATCTAGATCTAGATTTTAATACTAGATCTACACTTTGGCAGTACAGGACAGGGCCAAAATGCAGAGAATCCCCAGATCGAATATTTTAGTCTCAGTGAAGCAGCTGAAAGATTTGGTTGATTCAACAAGTTCTAACCACCGAGTCCTTGATGCATCATGGCATCTGCCGAACACAGGAAAAGTCGCCAAAGCTGAGTATTTAGAAAAGCATATTCCAGGGGCCTTATTTTTCGACATTGATGACTGTGCAGATAAAACCACAAGCCTTCCTCACATGATCCCAAATGCCAAAGGCTTTGAACAATATGTTGGCGCTCTCGGGATCAACAATAACACACAAGTTATTGTTTATGATAACCACCCGCAGTTTGGTCTGTTTATTGCTCAACGAGTCTGGTGGATGTTTAGACTTTTTGGTCATCAGAATGTTTCAATTTTAGAAGGTGGGCTTCCGAAGTGGCTGTCAGAAGGGGGAGCTGTCACAGCTGATGTGCCTGATGTTCAAAAGGAAGTTTTCAGCGCCCAATTTGATGAAAAGCTTGTCAAGTTCTATGAAAACATTGAGAAAAACATTGACAGTGGAGAGTTCCAGTTGGTAGATGCGAGGCCAGATGGAAGATTTAAAGGCATTGCTCCAGAACCTAGGGAAGGTAGGCCTTGTTCACTAATTCAGCAAATTCATCTTGTCATTATAATACTAAAACGTATCTAGACAATTGTTACAAAAATCAGTTAGATAGACCAGGAGGAAGAAAGATGATTCCTTTGAATTAACAAATTTATATAATGTCCAGTATAATACAGTGGAACTCGGATTCAATGAGGTCGCCGGGCCTGACCTAAAATCTCGTTGAATCCGAGTGTTCGTTATAATATAGCAAACACGAGGTTTTGTGTAGCTCACAGGCACTGAGCAAGTGTATAATGTAAAGAGAAGTCATAAGCAGTGCCTGAAATGCCTATATATGAGCAGTGTAAAAAAAAAAGATCGATTCGTTCAAATGCACACGCCTGTGTCATCTCGACTGTTCACCAAAAAGTTGTGTTGCTGTAGAGCCTAGCATGTACGGCAACTTTTGATTCCATAGACCAGCACACAATTCATTACGTAGATCTATGTCAAGACTAGCTTATCATTGTGTAATAAAGAAAAAGAATGTTCAACGCCCGTTTTGCTAGTGCCCCCCCCCC